GTTTCCGTCTGTGTCCGCTAGGGGCGGGGCTAGCGCGGCCATCTTGGGGTCAGAGCGTTGCGCAGCTCAGTCTGCATCTAGCCGTGCTAGTGAGAGGTTCGTGCTGTGCTCCGTTCAGAATCTGTGACGGTTTGAAATGTCTGCGTTAATTGAAAATCCCGCGAGCTGCGAGGTGCGCTCAGTAATAAGGTTTCTGACTGCAAAAAACTGTAAACCGATAGAAATCTATCGGCAGCTTCGTGAAGTGTATGGGGACAACATTATCACTGAAGGTAGAGTGCGTCAGTGGGTCATAAGATTTCAAAATGGCCGAACCAATGTTCACGACGAAGATCGAAGTGGGAGACCCAGCATAGTGACCGCCGAACTTCTCGAAAAAGTCGATGCTAAAGTCCGTGAAAATCGAAATTTCACAATAACGGAACTTTCTTTGAGTTTTCCACAAATTTCGCGAAGTTAGTTTGTTGCACGAAATCATCAGCGAAAAGCTTGGTTACCACAAGTTTTGTGCAAGATGGAAGGCAAGAAGAGGTAACGAAGTGGTTGAAGGCGCAGGCGGCCGAATTTTTCGACGAAGGAATTTCCAAGCTCGTACATCGCTACGATAAATGCCTTAATTTGTATGGTGACTATGTAGAAAAGTAGTATTTGAGTGTGGCTTTCATCTGTATATAATAAAATTTGTTTCCTATGCTCTGTTTATTTTTTTATTCCAAAACGTAATCTACTTTCTGGATAGCCCTCGTACTTACAGTGACACAAACAATTGAGGATGCACCTTACTTTTACTTGATAAATCCAACTATCAATCGAAATAACACATTAACTAGAAGTGCAAACGTACTTTTATTCTTAGACATAACAAAAGGTTTAATTAACAGTAAAAATAAAGAAAAATCAATGACAAAATTCTAAAATAAAAATTTTCAGAGGCATTTCAAATAAACATAAGCAGATTTTTACCTCAAAAAATTGAGGATACACCAATGAAATGTTTGTTTAACTACCACTAGATTTTTTTTCTGCTTGCTAGTATCATAATCTAAGTTTGGGCAATTTTATCTTAAACTTTTTCGACTGTTATTTTTGTCTTTTGAAATTGGTTATGTGTATTTAAAGTCGTAATTTTAAATGGAAAATGGTTCCTCGGAGAGAGACCAGTATTGATGTAAGAAAATTTATGGTAAGGTTATTTAAGAAAGGAAAATCTTATCATGAAATAGCTGAAATTGTCGGTAGAAGCCACTTGTGTGTACAGAAAATCATTGGAAGATTTAAAAATGATGGATTAATTAAAAATAAAAGTGGAAGAGGAAAGAAAAGTATTCTGAGTGATGTAGCCAAAAGGAAAATTTTGAAAGATATCAAGATTAATCCTAAACTAAGTGCAGTCAAACTAGCTGCAGAAACTTCTCGAATAATGTGCAGAAGTGTAAGTGCTGAAACTGTGAGAAATGTGATTAGACATGCTGGATATAGCAGTTGAGTAGCTAGAAAGAAACCATAAGCTTACAAAATCAAAAAAAGAGTTTGCAAAAACTCATCAATTGAAGACAGATAACTTTTGAAAGAAAGTTATATTTAGTGATGAAAGTAAATTCAACATTTTTGGAAGTGATGGTTGTCGCACCGTTTGGAGAAAGCCGAACACAACTTTGGATCCAAAAAATTTACGTCCTACATTTAAACATGGTGGTGGCTCCGTCATGGTTTGGGGTTGTATGGCTTCAAATGGAGTGGGAAATTTAGTTTTTATAGATGGCATAATAGATCATAAGCTTTATATAGATATACTTTAACACAATCTTAAAGAAAGTGGAAAAAAATTGGGTTTAGATGGAAATTTGGTGAATCTTTACATTATGGTAACTTGGCGATTTTTTGGTGATTAACCCTGCTACAGCAAATTTCTAGTTTTGTTTTGGATGCCATTTTGTTTCCACGAAGTAAAGGCATGTTTTTTTAACATTTTTTTCAACAATCTGCTAGCCGAATTACGCTTATACTAGAATTTTATGGAACAAAAATGCTTAATCTTGATGAAGATTAGGTGTTAAATTGGGAGAAAGTGCAGAATTGCAAACTGCTCGCCGCATTTTTAAGAATTGCACATACACAGTATCCATGTACACGTCAACCTATTTTCAGTTAAAAAAAAATTCCCAGAATTCCCAAAAAATGGCTTTGCGCACACTCTTAACTTTATCTATGTACACATCGACCTATTTTCACTTAAAAAGTCAAAGAAAATTGACAAAAATCCAATTCTTCTTACTCTTGTAAAAAGCGCCAAACAAATAAGTGGGCGATTCTGCACTTTAGCAGCGAAAATGTTTCTAAGTGCTTATTAGCTAAAATCGCAATCAGAATTTTCCGGAAAATGTCTCATAATCTCTCATTTCTCTAAGAAAAAATAATCTGTGATTCAAACTGTGTACTTCTCAGATTATTGCTAAAGTCCTAACCTTTATCGCCTTATCAAAATGTCGCCAAACTACCTGTTACCATATTCTAAAAATTAGCCAGAAAAGGGATATTCCAGCACGACAACGACTCCAAACACACGGCACATATCAAAATGTGGTGTTTTTTTCATTGAAAACAGCAATTGAAAATACCATAGTCCCCTGACATCAATGTCATAGAAAATTTGTGGGCCACACTTAAAACAGTGGTCCAAAAACACCAAATTAGGAACAAAGCCCATTTAAAGCAAGTGTTACAAGAAGAATGGGATAAAATATCTCCAGATACCACCAAAAAATTGGTTTAATCGGTACCAAGACGTTTGGAGGACATTATAAAAGCCAAAGGACATGCAACCAAATATTGACACTGTCTTTGTATGTGATACAGTCAAAAGTCATTAATCCGGACTCTTTGGGACTTCAGTGATTCCGGATTATAGATCATCAGTTTAAATCTGGTAAGATGGCATGCAGAAATTATAAAACTAAAAACATAAAACCGTAATTTATGAAATAAAGAACAAGGGTATCAAAATTTACAAAAAGAAAAAGCTTAATATTTATTTGCTTACATTATTAAACATTTCTTTCAATGTAAGTTGTTTAAGTTGCTTCGTTTCATGTGATAATACTTTCTCTTTAATTCTATTAAACAGACATAATTTCTTGTTTAGTTACAAAGTTCCGCTGTTCAAGTCGTATAATTGCTGTGTCGAGAATACCGACTAATTTGTCAATCGAAATTTTTTCGTTTACAATAACCTCTGTGTCACTTTCTTCACTATCGGAAGCGAATTATAATGACGAGTAACTTGATTTAAATCATATCAAAGGCGGAGTACATCGAGATGAAATACTACATTTAGTAAGAAATTATAAGCCAAATAAAATGAAAATATCTGCCCTGAAGATAAGGATAGTGCTGACAGATCAACTTCCAATTCATCGTGCACCGAGGCATCCCCCCCACCCCAGAGCAGCATGAAATTTATAAACAGATTTCGGAATGGTTAGAGAAACAAAGGATATGCCTCTATCCATTTTTTGCAGCAATTCCACTTTTTGTTTGATGGACATCGAAATATGCTTACTTTTTGTAGATCCTTTGGCAGCTCCAGAATCGGAAATTCTTTTTTACATAATCGAAAGTTCAAGCTTACTTTTATAAAATTGCTCTAACAGTCTGCAAAAAATAATAAGCCGAATCCAATTCAAAGATTAAGGAACAATGCAATCTGCAATATTAACTGAAATAGATAATTTTAGCTCAGCTTATACCGTCCGTTATACATTAAACGCGCATGGGTAAAGATATTATGCGCATGCGTAGACGCATTATGAGTTTACGTATGCACAGAAAGTTTGTAGCTTTGAGGTCCGGATTGTGGACATCCGGATTAAAGTCTTTTGACTGTATATCTATAATATGAGTATTTAAGAAAATAAAACCAATAGCTAACTTTTACAAACACTATGTATAAACCATGTTGCACTGCAGGCTTGCTTGAATTGCATATTCCATTGCATTTAAAAATGATTCACTTTTGTATCTGTTTCACAGAGTACAAGTTACATGGCTTGCATGGAACAGATCTATTACTTATGATGGAAAATGGAAAACTACTTTTTATGTTAAGTATTTTATCAGATTCTGAGAATTAGTACTTTAAAGAAAAATAGAAATAAAATGTGATCTTATATTCTGTAGATCAGGGCTTCTTAAACGTTTTTCAGTTGCAACCCGCTTTTATCGGTGAGATTTTTTTCGTGACCCTAGGACCCCCAAGCATTGCGCAAATCTGACACACATGTGAGTGAAACTGTCATTTTTTTCACTATTGCAGTTTTAGGTCATTAACTTTAATTTTAAGACACAGAACAATGTGAAAATTTTAATAAGTAACAGACGAAGTGACAGCATCACCTGCAAAGCAAGTGAAATGAACGTTTATATTACAAAAAGAATGCCTTGAAACGTTTTCATTTTTTTTCTTTGTCTGTATTGTCTTATATTTATCTATTTTCAGATACGTTGTTTAAAAATATTTGGTAACTTTAAAATTATTTTAATAAGTTACATTTTTGGCTACCCTTGCTACTAAAGGTCCCATGATCCCCATGGGAGTCACAACCCACAGTTTAAAAAAAAAAAAAAGAAACATTGTAAAATTAGATACTTGAAATATGAAACATATCCTTTGGGTCACTATGTTGTATCTATAAACACTATCATCATAAAAGGTCTATTTGGATTGTAGCTGAAATTCATGCTTGTACATGTGTCAAATTTTAAGAAGAGGAGCTTTTTTGAAAAGCATTATTGTAATTATCTGTTATATTATTTCATAATTGTATAACATTTCACTGCACATTTCATCATGAATGATAGTACTAACAAATACATTCATGATTGTACTATGTAAATCACATGTATGAAATTTGTTTCAGTTCCATAGTTGATATTTTGTACATTTTTTGTATTTCTCTTTAATTAATAATTAACTGCAATTGAATGATAAAAAAATATTGCAGGCAAAGACAAAGTTATGTTTTTAACAAAAGAAGATCTCAGTGAACCTAGTTCTATTGTATTACCCGAAGATGATGAACCTAGAGGTAAACTATTATATACTACTCTTTTGTCATATTCCTTATATGATTTTTTTTGAAAGTATATTTCAGGAAAAATTTTATTTCCATAGAATTAATTTCTATAATGTAAATATTCAGAATTTAGATTTAACCATTCAGGTTCTTATATAATCATTTTAAACATTTCTAAGCACAGCAGTTTTTAATAAACATGAAAAAAAAATTACTAATACAAATATTTATCTTTAATGTCCATAATTAAATAAATAATTAGATGAAAATTTTAAATAAGTAAGTATCATTATGCATATAAGCTGTGTTTTAAAACTGTTTTAAATAAAACAAATATTCATGTTTGGGCTTTTTAAAATTTAATTGTATAAAAATTACAAAATTTAGCATTTTGTATGATCTTTCTGTCTTTCTAATTATATTTTGTAAAAGTCTGCATTCATTTTAAAAATATATATAAAAATAAATAAATAATAAAATACAAACACTTTGACTTCTGCATGACACAAGTAGATAGACTACGGTATTTAAATATACAGATTATGCTTTCTGAAAATTCAGGGCCCATACACAAATTGAAGAGTGGAATATATAAACCTGTATGTAACTAAAAATAAAATATTAGTTTAGTAAAATGTTTCCGATGTTAATGGATTATGGGATATACATCAATATGCAAACTATCATGAAACATTGACCAAACACAAAGTTTTTTCAGAAAGGAGACCTTACTTACTGACTTTATGGAGTTTATGTTCAAGAAAATAGTAGAAGGCTGTAAGTGTTACAGGGTTTGTACGATCCTTAAGAATCCTTAAAAGTCCTTAAGTTTTTTGGAATCGATTTTTGGTCCTTAAAAGTCCTTAATTTCGGCCAAAATCGGCAGAACGTCCTTAATTTTAATCATCTGAAATTCTGTCTGTTTTTATAACAGCCATTTTGAGTGTGAATTAACATTTTTGAGGAATATTTTTGGTGCTTTTCTGACAAATATGGTTACTTTTGAATGGGTTCCTGGGTTATAATTTGTTCCTGTTTCTAATATAAATGGTTAGATACTCCAGTTTTTGAGCAAGAAGTGAAACATAAGCATTTTGAAATTATTTCATTTTTTCTAATGAAGAGCTCTTAAACAACTTTTCACTTTTTGAGATGAGAATTCTTTAATTAAACCATTCTAAATTTGGCGACTTATCAACATTTTGGCGATTTTAAAATCTGTTTCAATGGGAAATTTTTAATTCCAAGATCTAGGAATTTTTGAAGTTTTTTTTTAGAACATTGTAACATTGATACATTTCATTTAAATAATGGTAATAGTTTGGAAGTATATTAATGAGATAGATTAAAATAAAGCATTTTTATTTTTCGCTGAGATATAAATTATTTTATTATACTATATGGAAAATAAGCAAGGTATAATGCTATAAAGCACCATTTATGAAACAGTTCTTGCACTCGAGCCCTGCTCTGGTACTTCTTAGTTTTGGGGATAAATCATAATTCTATTCAGAGCACTAAATAGAAAGCTGTGACACTTCTTTTATGTACCTGAACAAAATTTCAGTAGAAATTTGATATTGAAAATTTTATTTTTAGTAATAAAATTATATTAAAAATCGCTTATTAAATTTTAATTTATCTCTTCAAATTTAAAATTTTTATTTAAACTATTTAATTTCTTTAAGCATTAATTATTGAATTATTTACATAATTAATATTTAATTTTTTTAATTATTAGTGATTTTATTAGTCATTTATATTAATTTATTTTGTACCTCTTTTCTGACGGTGTTCTGTGGGACTCGAGCACATCTAATTTTAGAAATTAAGCTCTATTTTTCTCTATAAAATTAATTTTACACCTTTTTCCCTCTGGGTGGTTTTTTTATATATCATATTTCTGGCTTTATGCTGTTACAGAATTGGTAGGGGTAATTTTTTTTTTAGGATTTTAGACATCGCAGCTTGGAAAGTTTAGAAAGATATAAAGGCAAGATTTATAGATCCACAGTTCTAGAAGATTCCAGAAAAATAAGACAAAATGAAAAATGTCTCCATAGTATTAACACGTAATTTCTTACTTTTTGGAGAACATCTGGAAGAACAATGAAATCATTATAGTTGAATGTTTTACTTCTGATCCTAGAATCTTTTTCTTAACATTTTTATTTTCCCTTAATTTTCTCTACTTTTCACTACACACAAGCATGGAAAATATCAAAAATGCTTCTAACCTTACCTTATAGACAGGCATTATAGAAAGGAATTGAAAACTGTTTAAAAGGTTCATCTAAGATGTCTTAATACGTCATACACAAGGCTGGCACTAGACATTTTCCCACGTGATGCAGGCTCTGTGGATCTTAAATTCTGCTGCCTGGTACCTTTCTAAATTCTGTTTCCATTGTCTGTTCTAAATGTTTTGTCATTTCTAGACTTTGTTGCTCAGTGTGTCACTAAATTCTAAAAATTATGCCAATTCAGCTTGTAGAGTCATTAGGATGTTTTTGAAAGCAAGAAAGATTGAAAAATAGCAACGCCCTCGCCGGGAATCGAACCACGGACCTCTGGAATACGCACACAGCGTGCGGACCACCACACCAAAAAGGCGGGAGAAACACCTTATATACTCCCCCTTTTAAAGGGCGACTGGGGTTTTAGGGGACCCAATTGCCAAATCCTGGGTATGGAGAATCATCATCCAACACCCTTTTAGTTCGGGCACCACTGTAGAGTCATTAGGTTTTTTTTGGAAGCAAGACAGATTAAAAAATAGCTACGAAAATAGCTACTTGAGAAGCTATTTTCATAGCTATTACTAGAAGCAAGAGCGATTGAAAAATAGCTACCCTCACCAGGAATCGAACCACTGACCTCTGGAATATGCACCCAGCCTGCAGATCACCACACCACGAAGGCATGCTAAGTAAGCGAGAGAAATACCTTATAAGCTCTCTAACCAAACCTTACCATATATATTTCATATTCCTTCTGAATGTTCATATTACTAAAGAAATAAAATTAGCAAATTTTTCTATACATTCTAAATGCATTTAGTTTATTTAGAATAACAGAAATATTTAATTAAATACAAAAATTCTAAAATGAAAAAGAAATGTGGAAGAAAGAAACTGAATACATAAAGAAAAAGATAATTATTCTTCAAAGATATGTACAGTTATTATTATGTAAATTACCCAATTGTTTACAATTTCAGCCCTTTACTATAAATTCCCATTTCTATTTTCTCACCAGAATGCAAATCACCTAGACAGTTTTTAAACTGAGATTTTTGGAATGTAAGACAAGAGCTACTTGAGAAGCTATTACAGTCAAAAGTCGTTAATCCGGACTCGTCGGGACTTCGGCGATTCCGGATTATCGATTTTTCCGGATTATAGATCATCAGTTTAAATCTGGTAAGATGGCATGCAAAAATTACAAAATTAAAAATATGAAACCGTAATTTATGAAATAAAGAACAATTATGATCTAAAGGGTATCAAAATTTACAAAAAGAAAAAACTTAATATTTATTTGTTTACTTTATTAAACATTTCCTTCAATGTAAGTTGCTTCATTTCATGTGATAATACTTTCTCTTTAATTCTATTAAACAGACATAATTTCTTGTTTAGTTACAAAGTTCCGCTGTTCAAGTCCTATAATTGCTGTGTTGAGAATATGGACTAATTTGTCAATCGAAATGTTTTCGTTTTCAATAACCTCTGGGTCACTTTCTTCACTATCCGAAGCGAATTATAATGACGAGGAACTTGATTTAAATCATATCAAAGACGGAGTACATCGAGATGAAATACTAAACTTAGTACCGAATTATAATCCAAATAAAATAAAAACATCTGCTCTGAAGATAAGGATAGTGTTGACAGGTCAACTTCCAATCCGCAGCGTGAAATTGATAAACAGATTTCGGATTTCAAAACATTCGCTTTGTAGATACAAATTACATATTAGTAAATATATATTGGAAATTCTATTTGACATAATCTTTCTAATCTATCATAATCTAATAATGACGTTTTTCTGCCCTGCCCCCCCCCTCTGCCGCAGAGCAGCGTGAAATTGATAAACAGATTTCGGATTTTCAAAACATACTTTCGCTTTGTAGTAAATATATATCGGAAATTCTATTTGACATAATCGAAAGTTCAAGCTTACTTTTATAAAATTGCTCTAACAGTCTGCAAAAAATAATAAGCCGGATCCAATTCGAAGATTAAGGAACAACGCAATCTGCAACATTAACTGAATTAGATAACTTTAGCTTAGCGTATAACTCCGTTACACATTAAACGCGCATGCGCACAAACATATTCGCAGCCGTAAGGGTCTTACGCGCTCTCGTAAACGCCTGTGCGCATGCGTGGACGCGACGCATGCGCAGAAAGTTTGTAGCTTTGAGGTCCGGTTTATAGATCATTCCGGATTATGGGTGTCCGAATTAACGACTTTTGACTGTATTGTGTTTCTGACCTCCACTTGCTCCCTGCATTAGCTGCTGCCAGATCCGATAATTTGGAATTATTCGTTTTTGCATTACCATTGCTGACATTTAAGATTGTTATGATGATAGAGTTATTGAACCAGCTTAAAATGTATTAAATTGTACAGTACACTCCCGATTATCCGTGGAATTGGGTGGCGCGGCCGCCGCGGATAATCCAAAAGCAGCTAAAAATGGGTATAGCAAAAGAGAAAACAGTCATTCCAAGTTTGAAAAATTTTTTTTTGTATATGAAACGTGAAATAAACAGCAGGAAATATTTAGCTAACGCTTAATATTTTAGTATATCACTCAAAACTAACTTAAAATGCATTTTGTTAATGAAAACAGAAAAGTGCTTTGTACTTACGAGAGGCGTCAAGGATACACGGAAAAATTAATACATATGTACTGTTTTAATACTGTAATGTATTATGTAATTACAAAAGCATAACTGTAAAACTACACCTTTTTGAAGAAATCCGTCATTTGTGTTTGCTTC